TGAGTTAATCCAAGAATGTGATACTGTGCTCTGACACAGCTGACATATGGGCATCGCATTTGTCCTCTTCCCCTTACACAGCCTCTCATTCCTCAGCCTTTTCCCTCAGAGTCTCACACTTGGCTGTGTATTATGAAACCTTGCCCATTGGAAAAAATATATATTTTTCTCCTTGTGAAACACTTCGTGCCTTAGTTTGGTTTACTTTTTCAACCTCATCTTATCTACAGATCATCCCCTGTTTGAATGCCTTTCCAAACCCAGAAAAAGTCCACTAAAACAACAAAATTGATAGTTTGAAATAATTATTTTACTGCCTCTAGTATAGTTGAAAACTACTTTACCCCTACTTTAAAGTTTTATTCCAAGAAGGATCTGGAACAAATTAGATTTAATGGATTGGTCTGAATGTTGCAGACAGTTGAATGTTTCAAACCGTTTTAGATGGTAGAAATGGTAGAATATGAAGAAACCATCATACTGAAATCCTCTCCATCCTACCTAGACCAAGACGCCTAGAGGCAGAGCCTTCAGGGACATCTGCTTCTGTCCCCAAGTTTACAGAAGACATTGATTGGGTGTAGCCATGTGGAAACCATCATGCTGGAGACAAAATTCAAAGATAGTCACCTCTACATTGCAAGGCTGAAGTGAAAGTAGGGAGGAATGAGCCCCAAGAACTCCTTCACTCTTCTGTTAAATTTCCTTGAGTCTTAGTTTCTGCTGGGAAGAAAATAAGGGATTGTGGAGTTCACTCTTCTTTTCCTAAATGCATACTACCATGATATTTCCATTACTGTAATACTGAAGTTTGAACAATGCTAAAAGACCAAATTGAGTGAATCTCCCATGCAGCTTGACATGCGATAGATATGTATATTAACACACACACACACACACACACACACACATCTCTACTAGCACTTATGTGTGTAGTCAGCCTTCCCTTGCCTTCACTTAGAGGTTGGTGCTGCTGCTTTCTATTTGGAGAACAAATGAGGTGCATGTGAGTAAGAACTTTGTCTTTCATTTCCTAAAGCAGCCACTGGTTAGAACAATCATGCTGTCCTTGTACCCTCTTCAAACCTAGGGTACATTTGGATAACTTATTTGAATAACTGCATCAAACCACTTACTATTGTGAAAACTAAACCTTGTAAGGATCTTATTGGATTTCAAGAGTTAGATGAGGAAATGTCGAGGCATTATTACCATTGGAACACATCTTCAGTTGGTAGGTCAGTTGGATTTCAGATGTGTTGGGCTCAATGTTTGGCATTCAGAATACATTTCTCTTTAAAAATGATGTTTTAATTGGTAGTTGAGTCTTCAAGCCATCCCACAAGAAAACTCTACTTAAGCCACAGTATTTTTGATTCCATAAAACTGCATTTGCAATAAAAATAATAATATCCAGGACTGTGGCCATGAGTAAATTTTTTAAAAAAATTGAAAAAAATCATTGTGTTTAGTTCATTCTCTTGAATGTTCATGCTGAGGTGGAGATAGACTTAAGTAGAAATAAGAAAGTATGTGAAAGTTTTTTAGAGATTCTGAGAGGATATCTGGGACATTTCAAAGGCTTTAGAGCCTGTGGCACAGGTTCTTTGCAGTGAGTAACCAATAAAATGCTTCTAAGAAAATAGGATTTTTTTCATAAGTATGATGTTTTAGAAATCTGTGAGGGAGTTAGAAAGTCACAATGGAGAAAAACATCCTTTTCCACAGTAAGTGAGAATGAAACTATCAGGGAGGAAGAAGTTGACTGGAAACTGCGTATGAACCCAGGAGAAAAGGAAATTGTCTGACAGAGCATCTACTGAGTGGCTGACATGGAAAGCATGGTAGGAGAATCATGAAAACTCCTCAACTTCTGGAAGCTGTGGAGAAGGTTTCTTGAGGACAGGCCTGGAGTGGGTGTGGAGTAGTCCTGCAAGGCCTGGGAATTGTGGAGCTGGATGGCTAATGGACACAGAGGTTTCCCAAGTGCTGCCCACCTCTCTCTTCTCAGAAGGAAACTGTCGAGTAAATGCTCTTACTCAATGCCTCCATGTTCTAGGGTTGTAACAGAACACCTCACATGATCTAATTTATAAAAGACAGTTTATCTTGGCTTGTGGTTCTGTACACTGGAAAGTCCAGGAGCAGGAAGTTGGTGAGGAGCTCATGAAGTGGTCACGTGTTGGGCAAAAAAAGAAAAGCTCTCCCTCACAATGACCTGTGCTCACCATAGTAGCCCCTTCAAGGTCAAGGAGTCTCTCTTGGAGACCAGCATCAGTCCCTTCATGCATGCACAGCCCTCATGGATCTAACCATTCTGATGGTCTTTTCAATACACTTGGAGGCAGATTTAAACACTGGCTTTGGATAGGACAAATCACACTATAAATCATAACACAAATAGCAAGGATTTATACTGTAGTCCATTTGTTAAGTCCTGAAATTTAATTCTTGCCTTTATAAATACATTTCTGCCTCCCTGCTTCTTTTACTAAATTCATTTCCTTTGCTTATTACTAAAAAATGATTGATACATTTTTTAAAAAGCAGTTAACCTGATGGAAGTGTTTAAAATCTTAAAATTGATATTACAATTAAAAATTTCCTAGGCTTATTGTGTTGACAACAACAAATAATAATGTCAGAATTTTTCACTACTTTTTCATCTATATTTGAGACAAAGAAAGATTGTTTATCCTTGTTTCCTCTAGGAAGATATCAATTGCCAAGTAAACCAGTAGCATCCTCACCATGAAATTATTTAATATTTCTCACTTTTGTCTCATTGCTGGTACAAAATATCTGACATCCCAAATTAAGGAAGGAAAGGTTTATTTAGCTCACAGTTAGTGGAGGTTTCAGTCCATACTTGGCTGGCTCCAAGGCAGGATGGAACATGGAAGAGGGCAGCAGTTTTGGGGGGCAGAAAACAGTAGAAATGGCAAGAGAAAAAGGAGAGGAGCAGTGGCAGAGAACAAGTCAGTTTCCTTTCTTTATATTCACTCAGGCTATCTGTCTCAGGGTGAGTGTAGCACTCATGCCCATAATCCCAGCATTAGATCATAAATTAATTACAAATTCTAGAATCCCACCCATGACTACATGAGGTTATAGGAGGACATCTAAACATTTAAAACAAACCATAACAATATCTAAAGAGGCAAATAATTTTTCAAGTGTTCTGAATTGTTTATACCCACTTATATAAATATACTGATTATTTAAAATTTATTTACTAATAAGAGATTTTCTAGACTCTGGTAGTTCATATTAAAATATATGTGAAATGACACTGAGAATCATTGAGAATCTGAAAGTAATGTCATTTCAATTTTTCCATGAATTCAAAATTTCAACAATTTATGCATGGTTATGACTAGTTAATGGAAGCAGCAATTGCATCATAGTATAATCAGATCTTATATTTAAGTTTTACAGACTGAGGTTGTTTTGTGTTGTTTTTTAGGTAAGAAACCTAATGAAGTTGTAGTTGAAAAATTCATAGCCTTAGATTGATTTTTAATGAAAGTCTATGAGTAATTAAAAGAATAATTGAGCAGACACAATGCCAGGTGCCCAATCTATACCCCCACTTGGTTTACAGGAATCTGTCAACCTTGCAGGAAAGTTATCTGTCAGGAGTGCTCCAGTTCCTGTAAATAGTGGTTAAATTACCATAAAAAAAGTAACTCACAACCAACATGGTACACATTAAACAAGTTACCTAATATATATACAAACATATATAAATAGTGTCAGATATAAACTAAACATTACAGTCAGAGACAGAAGACTTCTGCTTGATCATGTGCTTCAAGAATCTACACTAAACTATAATACACATCAAATAGAGCAGGATATGGGAAGATTAAGTCCCTTAAATGTTTCATATTAACATTGGAAGATAATGTTTTGTAGTGAGCTACTACAAAAGATAGTCCTTAAAGACGGAGACCAAAGAAAGAAGACATGGGTGTCCTGGGGTCTGAGATAGTGGAGTCAGATGATTGTGCTGCTGGCTTGCAGCTACCAGGAGATTGCTGCCTTCTCCTTGAAGCTGTTTTCTGAGGACATCTGATTTGCAAAGCTTTATTTTCCTGTTCATACAAATGTAACATTTTCAAGAGCTTATGCTAATTTGTTTCCTTCCTCTCAGAAAGAACCTAAGCCAGTACTGAATCTTCATCTGGATGGGGTCAACTCTTTGGATGTGGCAGGTTTTGGGTTTTTCTGTAGCACTGAGGAATGAACCTCTGTTGTTTGTACTGAGACACATCCTTCCTCCTTTTAAAATGTTTCATTTTGAGTCAGGGTCTCACTAAGCTGTCAAGCTGGTTAGTAGCCATAATCCTCCTGCCCCAGACCTCCAGAATTCTGGGATTATAAGAGTGCAACAAATCCCTGGCTTTCAGGTCTTATCTCAGGCTCCTTCTGGGACCTGCACTTTAATAACCCCTTTTCCAGGTGATTTGAATGCATTGTAGGGGATCAAGGCTCTGGATTTCTCTATGAGCTTCACTATAGTGGTATCCTCATGGCATGGAGTCAACCTTTGGTAAATTCTCATATTTTACCACTTGCTCTTGGTGCCAGCTGGAAGATCCCACTTGGCCAATGATCCTAAAAACAACATTTGGTACCAATTCTCCAAAGCATAACATATCTACTTATTTATGATTTTGGCTTAACAGCTATTAGACAAACCATGTGTAGAAGGTGGATAGACAAATAGGCTGAATAAATGACAGGTTAATATGAGCAGCAAAACTAAGAGAATATTAAGTTTTCTAGGAATGATAGTTCTAAATTACATTTGGCACTTTATAGAACTAAAAGAAAAGGTCTGGTCAGTGATTATTGAAGGAACTTTCAGTTATTTATTTTTCTAAAAAATCAAGGCACAATTTTCATCTTTCTCTTACCAAAAAAAAAAAAAAAAACCAACAACAATAACAACAACAACAACAACAACAACAAAACTGGCAGGACTGGATTCCTACCTTTATATCCTGAGGGTTGATATCAGGGTTTGTTTGACACTGCAGAGGTCCCAAAGTTTGAATATGAAAAATATAGAGAAGAAACTCATCCCGTGCAGAGAATGGCCAACCAACTTCTAAAAGGGTGTCGCTGATGGTGCTTGGTCCAATATTGTGCAGCTGCAAGCAAGTGACAAATTACGAAATGGGAGGAAGATGAAATTCAACTCTACACATGCTGGACTTGTTTCACAATGTATCTATTATTGTGGTTAAGTCATCAGAATTATGAGTACTAATAAGAAAAAGAATAAGAAAATGAGCAGGTTCATAGTGATCCTACTGTTTTCAGCCTCCCGAGCCCTAGGATTATAGGTGTGCACTACCACACCAGGTCTCAGTGGCCAGTTCAGCTGAGAGCCCAAGGGCAGGGCTAGTGTGGCCTGTGGTACCAGGGATCAAGCCCTAGTCCCTGCGCTTGCCTAAATAGGTACTTAGTCTGCTGGATTATCTTTCCTGCCCATGGCAAGAAGAGCTTAGAAAACAGGATGTGCCAATGTTTTGAGAAGACTCCAGTCTGAAGAGCTCTCCAAGTGGTTTGCTCCATAAAGATAACACAGTTTGATCACGTTTCTACAAAAATCTTGGGACTAGAGTGTTTCTTTTGTCATATTTTTGAATATTTGCATATATATCAAGAGACTCCAATGTAAAGGCAAATTCCACTAATGTTTCATACATACTGTATGCACATACCCTGAAGGTCATCTTACACAGTATTTTTAATGTGTTATTTTGCATAACGATCCATAACATGAGACCAGATATGGAATATTCCACTCATAGCATTGTGTCACTGCCCAAATATGTTTTGGAGTTTAAAGCACAATTCCTCCTTTCTAATTAAGGATGCTTAACCTGAGTTACTTTTGTCTATTTACCATAACTTTATATTAATTTAATAATAGTACTAGAAATGAAATTTTTAACTATATGCTTCAGAACTCAGCAACTATTTATTTCCTTTGGAATCTGCCTTTTCTTGACTACTGACTTGTCAATTGCAACCATATGTGATGCACTCTCTTTCATCCCCTGGAAAACTAGACATTCATCAAGTGCCAAAGCCCATCTGGGCTTGGTGCAGTTCACTTCCAGGGTGTCTAAAAACTGTGCTCCTTCTGTTTTAATCGCAAATCTCAAGGCAAGAAGGCTCACATCTCATAAAGGGATGAACAATTTACATGTATGAATCACATACTCACAGTGCATAAAACAGTGAGCCGAAAACACTGTATATGTTTATATTAATTGTGGATTTTAAAATTCACATTCAAAATTGGCAGGGATCTTTTGCTCTCCCACAGTTGTGACAATTACCATGAAATATATATACATAAAATATATATATTTGCTTATTAAATGACCTATCAAAAAGGTATTGGTACCAAGAATTGAACTCACTAACTCACAGTCTCAAATTTGCCAGGCAGATTCTGCAGCTTCCCTGGCCCTGACATTGTATAATTGAAGACGTGAAATTAATATGTAACTTTTATAATCAATTTATGCTAAGCTTAGAAGCAGAACTACTTTAAGTATGATTGAATAAGAAAAAAATAAAAATTTATTTTGAGGAGCTGGGGAGATGGCTCAGTAGAATAAGCATTTGCCTGGCAAGTTCAAGGGCCTGAGTTCAATCCCCAGTTCAGAAAAAAAAAAAAAAGAAAAGAAAAAAAGAAAAGAAAAGAAAATTTTGAAGAAAGTATAGTAATAATTGATTGACATTAGAAATGGTACACATTTAGCAGACTGAGATGACATGTATTCAAGCATGATTTTTGTGAATTCTTTTGTCATTGATTTCCAGTTTCATTGTACTATGGCCACATAGTATATCCATGGGATGGTTTCAATTCCTCTGTATTTATTTAAACATATTTTTTGGACAATATGTTTTGCAGAACATATCATGTGAAGCTGAGAAAAATGTGTATTCTGATGTTTTAGGTGGATCACTGTACAGACATCTATCAAGTCCATTTGTTCACAGATTTGTTTTAATTCTGATATTTCTTTGTTGATTATTTTTATCTAATTGATCTATCTATTTCTGAAAGTGGGATAGTAAATACCTATACTACAAAAAAAAGAATCAGAATATTTTTACAAACTTTAAAGTCTCATTTGACTGCCTTACTAATTAATGGATTCTTTCAAATCTCAGAATACATCATGCATTTCTAAACTGGGTCATGTACCTGCAAAGTAAAATTATTATTTCTCAGTCATGCACTCATCTTATACACACATTTTCCCATACAATAGAAAAACATTTATTAATCTTTCCATCAAGTGCCTTGGAGTTAGTGAGCTTCAGCTTAAGAAACAGGTGAGGCTTAGAGATATCTGAAAATGCAGGAAAAATTGAAAGAAAGCCAGGGAAGCAAGTCATTTTTGTGTATGGGTAGTCCAAATTTTACAGAAAGCATAAAAGGACTTTGCATAAAAGATGAGCAGTACAAGATGAAATGTTTCTTATGATGTAATGGCTCCCACCACTGAGAAGCAAGTGACTGTGAGCGCTAGCACCACCCACTGCGATAGGAGAACATAATAACAGGAACCTAGGCAGTACATATTGGACCTTGGACTGATGTTTTAAAAGATGTTACATGATCAGTTAGTACAAAGCAGAGGTATGAAGTCCTAACACAGTTTAAACATAGATGGCACCTACCTCATAAATATGTTCCACCAGTGGCCCAACTTCTTCTTCTCTGTGTGGCTCCTTTTCTGGTTCCCAGTTATGAATCGGAAGAACAACTTGCGGAGGGTGGGATACCCTGGAATATGGAATGGCTGATTAATTGCTGATATGGGCCTAGGTAAGGATATTTCACCACAGTGTACACTGATAGCAGGAGAAACACGTGGCTCTCTATAGATTTGAGAACTTATTGTCTGCATAGAAAAAGTACAGGAACTGATGTTTAGCAAAATGACTACAATGATAAGGCAACATCTTCCCTTGTATGCTCCTAATTAGTGGTCTTTAGCTCAAATGGGCTCTTTTATGTCATCTCATTTCTTGATCACTAGGGGGCAGAGCAGAGTGCTGCTCTTGAGATAAATAATTTAACGTACCACATAAAACTAAATATGTCTACCTACTCTGTGTTTGTGTGGAAACCGTCGTGTGTATGGGCTGCATAAACCCCGTCTAATCCACATAAAGAATTGAGACTTTTTGCGTATGTGGATAAATATCTAGTAATTCTGTATGTTGATACGTTTAATATCTAGTTGTAAAGAAATATAGTTTCTCCTTAAAGATTTCAGAATAGAAAAGTGGCCATCATATATCTCTTCTTATATTTCTTTGACTTTCTATTAGTGCAACCAGAGCTCTCCTGAGAGCAGGCAAAAAGCTAAACTAAATAAAGCAGGATATTGTGCTGGAGTTGTCTTTGAGAGAACTCAAGGGTGAGAAAGAGTTTAATGGTATTACCCTGTAGGTTAGATGGTACTATTATGTATTAAGTTGGAGATTAACAATACATGGATATATTTTTTCTGTAATGCACACACTGAGAACACTGGAATGAATAAAATTAATTATGTAGCATTAGTCCATGTTAAAAGCAGACTATAAACCAAATAGTTGTTCAGATAAATCATAAAAAGAATAATTTGACCAAAAAAACAATGCCTTATAGGAGTTTTCAGGTACACGTGGATGCTTCAAAGAATTCCTAGGCCTTTGGCTAAAAGTAAATTTTACAGAAAACATGTCTTGCAGCAATTAAATATCTTAAATGTCTTGTAGGGCTATCCAGTAATTATTGCATTCTCCTGACACTTCGGAGTTACCATTTTTCTCCACCTCTGGTAACCTCCTTCTGAAGCAGAAAGTGTAAAATTTATTGTGTCAAATTCATGTTGGCATGTCTCTATTGACTCATCAGGAAAACTGTGATGCACTCTAGGTTGTACACCAAAAGTGATTGGAAATATCTCAAATGCTTGTGGTCAAAGTTAATTCAGCTCCACTGTTTTTCTGAAAAGTGGGTGGGAGAAGTATATTTGAAAATGGTCAGCCCACAGAAATGCTACTAAATTATAAAGCCCTTCAGATACAGCCTTCACATTTTACCTGGTGAATAAAACTCTGGGTCACAGCTGTGTGTGCCAACTCCTCAGAATGCTCGAGCTTTCTACTGGCTTGTCATTGTGCAGTTCTATTTTCCTACTGGATTTGATTAAATTATATTCAGCTCAAATGTGCAGCGCATGGTAAGAGGAGGACACAATGTGGCAGGTTGCCTTCATTAGATGCAACCCACAGAGCATGGATGTTCTTTCCCACAGAGCTTTGCTCAGTTCCCTACCCAGATCTTCACTTCATCCTCCCCCTGGTTACCAAGGAGGCCCATGCTCAGCATCCTTTATCCACTAGAAAGTGCAAAGAGATATTGTTTAAGCATAGAGAAGAACTAGAAAAGAAGCTGCATACATTTCCCCTGCAAACTCTTGCTCTTATGGTCCTCAATCATGTATGACTGGTGATAAATTCTCTAGGATCATAGAATTACACATCTTTAGACCCTGACAGGTATTGTCGAGTCAATATAATAAAAAATAACTCTTTGTACAAAGAAGTGGTTGGTCAGTTACAGGAAAGGATTAAAGCAGTGTTTTCCTAAGAGCTTTTACTATGTTTATAATATGCTATGTATTCTAGGGGGGGCCTAAGTTGCAGCAATAGTTGGTGAACACAATTTAAAAATTTCCTGGCACAGTTCTAAAGCAAAATCAGACAGGCATTTATGAAGAGATATAATTTATCACAAGACACAACAAAAATCTTTAGAAGAATATGGTTCACAATTCTCAGCTATTTACCTGTTGAAGAGGATTTAGATATGGGGTGAATCATGATACAGAATGACTTCCAACTAACTCAGTGATGCACTAAATTGGTAAATGTGTTTTAGAAAGAAGGAAGCAAGCCAGCAAGAAAGGATATAATCAGCTAACTTGCTTGGTATTAACAGTCTGTGCAGTAATGTAACCATCGCTACTGAATTGCTCTCTCCTAAGATAGAAGATGGAGCATCCTTCATTGGGACCCTCGGGTGACAAAAACATTGGGGTATTGTTAATGGTAACTTTGAGGCTTTGGGAAGAAGCAAGAAACTTTGTATTTTTTCTAATTAAATTTTATTGAGATAATTGTAGATTCATACATGTTTATAATAAATTGTATGTGGTGATCTCATCTACCCTCTAACAAGCTTCCCTAATGGTGACATTTTACAAAACCAAGATGTGGTATTTTGTATATCAAAACCAGAATATTGACATTGATGTAGTCAAGGTACAAATCATTTCCTTGACTTCAAAGATGGCCTTTTATAGCTATATTTACTTCCCTCCATCCTTGTTCCCTCCTCGTTTCTTGGCAACCACTAATCAGCCTTTCTCTTCTATAGTTCTGTCATTTCAATATTGTTATATAAATGGAAACGTATTTTATGTAATCTTTGGGCACTCTGTATCATTCTGTGGAAATCCATCAGGCTGATCCAGCTGTCAATAGGCTATTCCTTTTTATCAAGTGACACTTGGTGCTGTGGGTATATCACAGTTCACTTACTGTTCACCCACTGAAGGACACTGGGGATGCCTGCAGCTTGGGAATGTTACAAATATTTTTATGAACATTAATGAAGAGGATTTCATGTGAAATTAAGTTTAAATTTTCCTGAAATAAAGTTTATTTTTTGGAATGAAGGTATCAGATTTTTGCTGGAAGGAAGTTCAAATCTGAAGAGTTAAAACTATGGTGTGAATCCTATTTTCCAAGGCCATGAATCACAAGTTGCAAGACTGTCACTCACTGTCTGGAGCCATGGTAAGGGTCTCTGCCGGGGGCAGAACTCTGACTCCTGCAGGCCTTGGTTATTCATGATTGTGATCTCTCCTAATCCAAAGCTATTCAACAGTGATTATGTTTCTTTCTATTTAATCTGTCTGTCTGTCTGTCTGTCTGTCTGTCTGTCTGTCTGTCTGTCTATCTTCCATCATCTATCATCTGTTCGGGAGATAGGTGTACGCAGTGCTGCCTCTGATGGCCAATTTTACTCCTTACACATCTACTTTCACCCTTTGTGCTAGCAGATGACATGTAAATTGTCTCAAAGACAATGTTTATGTTATTTATCTATGAAACAAAAGCAATGGTTTTCAGTATTTTCTCCACACAAAACATCCATATTTGTTTATATTTAATCTATAAAATAGCAGTAAGTTAAGAAAAATACACTGTGTCAAATAATGCATGTTAAAGTACATCCAAATGAACACACTGGCTAAGAAAAAAGAATTTTTTTTTTTACTTCATGGAGTTTATATACCAATAAATTGGACTTTAAAAACAAATCCCCCGACTCCATAAGCTGTGAAAAGATACCTTTCGTATGTCTGATAGAATAGCATCTAAATTCTTGAATAAAAATGCATTTTTATGCACTAGCAAGTAAAAAATAATCATCTTAGGAGAAATATGTACAAAATTTAACAAATATTATTTATTCTTCATCAATAGGAAGAATAAAGAGTCACAGAATATACTTGAAAAAGTCTCAATTTTGATTAGAAATTAGGGAAGTATACATTAATCATCACCTATATACTATTTCTTAACTATAATACAGGCTTAAAATTAGAAACAGGACTATTATAAGACTTAGTTGATAATATAAAGCAAAAGAAACTTACATCCAGTTCTTGTGGGAGTATAATTTGCTATAACAATTTAAAAAAAGATTTTGGAGTTATTCAGCAAAGTTAAATGGTGTAAACACTCTGATCTGAAATTTCACCTTTTAGCTGCACTTGATGTTGATTTACTTATATAGTGGAAAATATGCATGAAAAACATTGCAAAAATGAAAAAAATTGCAAATTTTCACTGAGTGGAATGGATGAATTTTTGTACAATATATATATATATATATATATATATATATATATAATTTCAGGTTAAGTGAAACAATCAGATGCAAAAGCTTAGAAATTGTATTGTTTTTCTTATATGAGAAAACAAAAATATAAATAAAGAGCAAACTAAAAGATAGAACAGAGGAAATGGGGAGATAGCTCTTTGGAGAAAGGAAAAAGAGTCAAGAGATGGAGGGAAAGCAGAGGAGGGGACGGGAGTGAAGAAAGAATTGAGATGTATCAAGTACATGAACCAACTCCCCATGAGGCATGTGACCATGGTGTACTATAAATATTTATTTACTAATAAAATGTTACAATTGAAAAAAAGGATGTTAACACAGCTCATGAGGAAAAAATGATGTGCTAACATGGAGTGGCACATAGAAGACACCAACAAATGCTAGGTAATTTATTATTATTTTCCAGTCCACTAGGGTGAGCCTCACTAGTTCTCAGGCAGCAAGGAAGAGCCTTCTGTGACAGCCTCACAGGACAGGAGTCAGAGACCTATGCAGACAATGCAAAACTACAGTTGTCCCAGAGAGGAATGATGGCCACATAGGACCACAGGACCTGTGGGAAAGGAAGGGAACCAGAATTCTGGAACCCTGGGGACAATTTAGTCCAAAATGCTTATTGACATTTTAAATAAAGTCTTCATTTTTCTTTTTTCTAAAGAAAGCAGAATTGGAATAACAAAATTGGTGATGTCTACCTTTGTGTGTGAGAGGGATTTCTGATCTCCTTTCTCAGGTATGGATATTCCAGCTGGTTGTCCTTCCAAGCCTTTTCCTTGAGCACTTTCCTCCTGCCTCTTAATAGAGAGACCAAGGGGAAAGGATACGGAATGTAGATCCCATGCACCCTTCCAAATAAGAGCTATTGATTAAACCCAAGATATTGTAGGGTGAGGCTAAAGGATCATTATGCTAAAATAATTATTTGGAAAAGTGAGGTTTTATTTTTCAGGCACTCATTGTGTTTGTTGATTTCACTAGCTTCTCATCAACTACTTTTTTATAGTTTCATTGTGGAGCTATCAGTTTGGTGGCTTAATGATCTCTTGTTATTCTCAGAGCTAATTAATAAACAGGGTTGATTATACTTTCTGATAGAAGCTGGGATGAAAAGAACGAAAACTAATAACCAGAAAGAACTGTGAACTCTAATGCAAAAAGAATATTCTGTACAGATTTTACTCGTATTCTATAAGGCTTTATATAAGGAGGATGATTATTATGCTATTGATGTGCCTTGTTTATTACTTACCCTCTTATTTCTACTTGAGCAACAGCAGTGATGTTGATTTGCAAACTCACAAAATTGCTGTCTGGATTGTCCTTGTTGGAACTAAAACATAATGAAACATAGTTTAAATATATTTTTTCAGTTGTGATGCACATCATGATCATGAAAACATTCTGTATATCACAATCAAAACATATTTATAACCTGGTAGTTTTGGAAAACAATAGTATATTCATTCTACAAAATCACAACCATTTGTCCAGGGAAATGTTAAGATGGTTTATTATCAGCAGGAATAAAATATTTCCTATCAGGAGACCATTCATCTGGAAATACAATAGATTGCTGGAGATGCTGACACTTTTTAATTTCAATGGCTAAATGAAAAAGACAACAAGCTGAGTTCATTTTCTGGCTTGTATCATAAACAAATTCCTCAACATCTCTGCACATCATGTTCATGGCCCATCAAACAGGGACTGACAGTACAGTCAACTCCTGATTTTCCATGCTAATGAAGAGGAGACCTGGCATGGATAATCCAGAACAGCACATAATTGAAAAAACATTTGCATTTGACTGTGCAAAGCATCATACTATACATTGTTTGGGGAGCAATCTTATTTTCCTCATGGCTTATTTCTTAAGTTAATATTAAAACAAGAGTACATTTACTGCATACTCAGTGGCTGTCTAGGGTGTTGAGTGGGTGCAAATTAGAAACATAGGAAACGGCATGAAGATACAAGACCCAAAGAGGCTGGACGGTACATCAACAGGCAACCTGAGATGATGTGAGTCTTCGTGAAACGCATCAAGAGTCTCAAGTTGGAAAGTGTGTGGTCAATATTATTTGCTTGCACAATGGCAAAATTATTTTTAAGTTCAGTGTTTCACTCCCTCAAGCAAATATAATTAGATATGAAATTTAACTTTTAAAAGTGCATATGTTAGGCAATCAATGCTATCAGAAAAATCAATTATACCTCCCAAGTGGTTCAGGTAGTGACTGCATCTTGGATGCAGGTGCTACATTATCTGCCATTTCTGTCCCTCTGTGTATTCCTCAGAGTTATCTACAGGATCAAACAACATTTAATACACAAGCATATAGCCACGTTGCCACTTCAGACCTTGTTTAGATCCAGGTCTCCTTAAGAGAAGAAAGCCTCCTCTTTGACACAAAACCCTGTTTGGATTCACCATATAAGCTCTAGTACCCTGATAGTGGGAACAGGCTAGCTTCACAGATTTTTAAACTTTCTGAAGTTCTCAAATGAGGGCTGTAAAGGATCTGATCAAAATCTGCTGTCAAAGGAGTCAGAGGTAGAATTGTTCCCACAGTATTCTAGCAAAACCCTAGTTGATTGCATATACTGATAAGGCAACTTAAACTGCAAACATACAGGAAAGATAGAAACAGGAAAGTATAAAGGCCATTTCCTGTCAGGGAGTACTTACCAAATGCTGACCTTGTGACAGTCCCCAGGGATCTGTTCACCAAAGTCTGAACCCCAGATTCCAGGTCATTTCATTTGACTATTATTAAATATTGACAAAAACTCTCTCTGTCTCTCTCCTGTTTGTCTTTCATTTTCTCTCCCTTCCTTCCTTCCTTCCTTCCTTCCTTCCTTCCTTCCTTCCTTCCTTCCTTCCTTCCTTCCTTCCTTTCTTCCTTTCCTTCCTTCTTTTTTTCTCTTTCTTTTAATGGCATCATTCAAAATTCCAACCATTGACAAATAATTCCACTTGTTACAGACTTAATGGTGGTAAATACATTATGAATACTTATCTAGTTTGCAAATTTAAATCTAGTTGCTCAGCAAATCAACCAGATTTTGTACTATTTCCAGCTTGCTATTGCTTTGCATAAATGCATATTAGAATTATGAAAATGGGTTTTATTTAACTATTTGCATAATGATTCTATTGCCTCTTGACACAATTTCCATTACTCACAACAGCCTGAAAACATCAATGTCAGACACTGAAGTAATCTTAGTGTCTGAATGTCAGAGGAAGACAGTAGAGGTAGAATTGCTGAAATGCACCAAGAGCAGTGGCACCTAGACTTAGAGTCTAGAACTGGTTGGATAATTAGAATTAGCGCCTGTCACCTAGATGTGCTACAACACTTGCTACAGCCTGCTGGTGCTGTCAATAAATCTCTGGTATGCTGTACAATTTAGATGTTTCCTTGACTTGTTTCTTGGAAGGAAAACTCCCTCATTAATGTCACTGCTCCATTCCAATTAGCTATCTATCACCAGAGGCTAAGCTTTTTTAAAAAAACTTCTTGTATGTATGTATGTGTGTATGTATGTATATGTGCATTTGTTTGTTTGTTACAGGGTCTTGCTACACAGCTCGGTCTCGTAGTGATCCTCCTGTCTCAGCTTCCCCAGTGTTGGGATTACAGGTAAATACCACCATGCCTGGATCAGTGGCCAGCCGGGGAGGCCAAGGGGAGTCTCGGAACAGCATATAGTACTGGGGATCAAGCCAGGGTCTCTGAGCCTGCCAGGCAGGTGCCTTAGACTGCTGAGCTATCTCTCAGCTAAGACTGAGCTATTTATGCTGTTGGTGCTTGTTCCATGCAAGGAAAGATGACTTTCCTCTAGTATATCCTATTTTGTACATTAAGGATAGACATGTGTTTCACCTTATTATTTTAATGCCCTTTGCTTTTTCCTATTGTTTTCTATTTTCTTTTTGTTTTCTGTGGTCTGTGAAAAGTCAACTAAGACAATACCCTGCTCACTGCAGCACTGCTGAGGAAGCAACTTCAAGGGTGATCCTCCAAGCCTGTCTGCACGCGAGAAGTGCAGTGTGAGACCTGTTTCACCCAGGGAGGAAAATGTGTGTGTCACACAGAGAAAGAGCATTCCATGCTAATATTTGGTAACAGGAAAGACTTTTAATTTATTAATATATAAAGCCCATTTTTCTTTTGGCTTCTATTTATGGAACAGAACACTCAATGTAGGCAATGGAAAGCAATGTATAGTTGTAAGAGTTTAGACATTAGAGTTTATTTTTGACTTGAATACATTTAAAATGAATCTAAAACTACCCATCAAAATCCTTATTCGCATCTTTAAAGGCTGCTAGCAGAGCATACAGATAAGTGATCACTTTCCAAACATCTTAGTATTTGAGTTTTAAAAGCATTCGCAAACATCTTTACCTCTATAATGCATTTTTTGAGAGTTTTATACTTGTGTTCCAGTTCTTTCTACATTTCCACATTTTTATATTGCTAAAATAATGTTAAATAGTTATAAGTAGACTAAAATATAATGATGAGTCATTTTTATCAAGGTAAACATTTAAAATGTGGTCATTTTTGATTTGAATCCAATTCAGCCCTTAGTTACTAATTCATTATTTTAAGTGATGTTGTACAAGATGGACACGGAGATGGAATTTAGACCATTACTTAGTATCTTTTCTGGTTAACTACTACTTGTGTTTTTCTTTTATTTATAACAACACTTAAAACAAAAAGAAAATATTGATGAATAGGTGTACCATCTTTGTACTCGACTTTCTTTTTTAAAAAAAGCTCATGCATTCTATGAGAGATGACATTTTCTTCTAAATGATACAAATCTTCCTGTCAGTACAATGCGACGGAAAATGATGGCGCCAAATAGAAGCTTCACACTGCTGTACAGGGTGACAGTAGTCCTTCACTTTGGCATTTTAACCTTGTCAACGTAGTAATACAAACAAGATTTCCAAAAATGCAAATGTTTAGGGCTATGTGAGTTTTTGGGCTAAAACATATTTCTGTAGGTGTGATAAACTAATTTAATAATCTTTTGATAAAATAAAGAGCTATTATAAATTCATTCAATAATTCATTCTGTTTGCATCTCCTTGCTAATTTGGATGGAGTAAAAATGTTTCAAAAATCCAGAAGAAATTATTTAAGCTAAATGCAACGAGAAAAAAACTAGGCGAGGTCAGAAAATGATACCTAAGCTAAGTCAGAAAGCTTTTCTTCCTCAGGAAATTGGAGAAGAGGCAGTTTGTGACACAGATTAGTTTTAAAATCTACCATATTCTTATTGCATTATGCATTTTTTAAAATCCTAGAGTCTTCATTGATGTAGCTATAAAAAGTAATGTGGTGCACAGAGTAATTATTCTAGAAGTCACCACAGTGTGGTTACACACCCTACAAGATATTAAGATAAATTTAGAGATTGGCAATGTTGCATTTGTGCTGGAAAATCAGGTTGTAGATACAGAAAAGATGGCACTCCCATCTTTTCTGGACTTAGAGCAAGGGTTCAAATAATGATGGAAGATTTTCATTTGCTGTCTAGATCAGTGCTCTGCAAACTCTTTAAGCTGGAGACTGCACACGGTATAACCACATCCCAGGACATCTTGCCAGCACATTGACATTTACCTGAATGGAACATTTCATAAACTGTTTAAATTCTATTCCATTCTATTTCCTTTTCTTTTCACATGGGTCTAGAGCTCAAAAGCTCTGGCCCCAGCACTCCTCGCTACTCTGTGGGTCTTCTTGCATGGAACATATTAGTTAGGACTGTGAAGGACCAAAAACAGTAGATCAAGAATGGGTAAGGTCACACTTAAATCCTTAAAGAAGTTCTTCTTTAAAAATGGAGGCAGGAAGGTAGTGACCTACAGATTCAGCTTATTGTTGTTAGATCATTGTTCTATCCTCAAAATATAGTATGTTGTCTACATCCTGTCCTGGTGCTCCCATGTAGACTATTAGAGACTCACTCATTCCTGAAAATTTAGGAGGCTTTAAGATTACATATGTAAAATCTATCGTTTATGCAGAAATTGTTCTGTCTTATGAGTTGGACAGAATACTAATGTATTCTCAGGGCCGGACAAAAGCTTAGTGGATTAATGCACCTGCAAGCAGGCACAGGGGCTGGGGGTTCGATCCCCCAGGCCTGCCATGCTGGCCCCACACCTAGGGTGAACTGAGATGGCAATTAATACTGGGCATGGTGGTGCACCCCTGTAATCCTAGCTCTTAGGAGGCTGTAAACAGTTGGCTCATTACAAGTCCTATCTAGTACTGAGACCCTGAACATCCTGTAGACCCTTTCCTAAAATTAAAAATAATAATAATTTTTTCCAAAAACCTAAAATGTGAAATAATTGAGAAAAATCAAAAGACAAAAGGCCATAAAATTCTAGTGCTAATTTCAGAAGAACTTTAAATGTAAAAATCTTGAAAGTGGCCTTTCATCATGAATCTCTGTACTCTTCAACTACTATATTTAAGTATGTAAACATCCAACCTTCTGATTTGAAGACTGAAGTTAATGCTCATGTTTGTTTTCTCCAGACGTGGAACTGCAAAGCGGAGACCCAGAGAATACTGAAAACAACCAAAGCACACAGGATACAGAGTTATTACATGGGAGGGACCTTATGTACAGCATGAAAATTGTTCCTAAGTAATTCTCAAAAACCCCACCCTCTATCTCAGTAATATTGTCTTATCTGTTTCTGCACTAGATGGCTTATGGCTAAGGTTAGGGTTAGGTTCAGGATTTAGGGTTAGTTTTAGGGTTAGGGTTAGGATTAGGGTTAGGGTAGTTGAGAGCCAAAAGGAAGCTATGCAAAATGCTCCAGGTACATTCAGTTCAAAAGGCAGAAATGAAGTCTTTTGTATTGACACAATTTCTGAGTGAGATAAAATAAAGACTTATTACCTGATGAAACACAACCAACAGATGAGAAACTACAGTGAAAGAGGAAGCATGCATTAATTCTAATGTGTAACAGTGACACACAAAACTATGACTTGCACAGTGGCTGGTATATTGTATTTGCTTGAAAATACTTGTTAGATGAATCAATAGTGTTGAGAAAACGGGAACATGAAATATAGTTGTATGATGAAGGACCATTCAACTGTGTGGGTCAAGTCACTTGGATTCTATCTCTTCAGACAGGACCTGCTCACTTCATGGGCCTTGGTTTCTTTACATATACAAAAACGTTAGGTATCCCAGCACTCAGTTCTACAACCAGGAGGCAAATGAAGTGCCTCACATGCTATATTCGTTATAATATGTTTTGCTAGTAACTTCAAACATAAATATGCATTCCACATATGACTTTCAACAGAAAACTGATAATTACAAAAGTGTATACAAATTCAATATCCCTATAAAGAAATACACTGTAGCTTATAAAATTATGATGCATAAAGTGTGGTATCTGGTAGGCAAACTTTGGAAACTTTATGATCTACGCTGATCTGAAGTTAGTTTATTTCATGAGATTAGAAATACAATCTGCTTTTTAAAAAAAATTCAGGTCATCATACATTTTGGTGCCCTTTACCCCTGTAAGGCCTTCTTTGTTTTTGCCACCTCTCTTTTGTCCCATTTGAAAACAATCCAAATATAAGAGAGGAGACTGATTTATGAATCTATAATGTTTCTGTTTGACTGACATTTATGTGGCTTTTGAAATTATAGCAGCGACGTTAATGCAACAATGTGGCCAATGCTGCTAACATAATGACCAAAGAATACCAGTCACAAATTTCATTGTACAATATATGTCAGCTGTGATTTGAAAAGTTTACACAGGAATAAACTACTATATAACAGCGAGGACATACTGTAGGGAACTATTCCAGAATAGTATGTTAGGATAGTTATAAAGGTTATATTTTTACTCCTTTATTTTACAAATTTGAAAAAAAAAACTCTTGTTTTTATAATTTGAAAAATGGAGAGAAACACATGCATTGATCATATAAGGAAGAAAGTAAAATACTAGCTAACATGTATACAAAAGTATGCGACTTGCTGTCCCGAGCATTGTACTGCATTTTATGTGCCTTATCGCATGTAATCATGACAACCCTGCTGAGGTCTGCACTGTTGCTATGGACATTTTACAACTGGGCAGCAATCTGAGCACTACAGAGATCAAGTGCCTTGTTCCAGGTACCGCTACATAACTAGAAGTTAAATCCTTGCAACGTGATTCCAGAATTTCTATTCACAGTACTACAGTTTGAGAATCAAATCAGTAATAAAAATTCATGTTTAAAACCATCACTAATGACATAAAGTAACACTAAGTTGTCATGTTTGTCACCGATGATCCTCCCTGTGTGTGAGGAGCCCCTTGCTGTCCTGGGGGCTTTATTTATGTCACAGTGTTATATTATTCCCCGCTTTCCTACAAGTAGTGTCTCACTATTTCAATGTGACTTACTAAGCTATCACAGCATAGCTGCTATCTAAACTCAGATGTGCTTTGATTATAAAATATGCACCCCCTTGGGCCCCTGGAATGTAGAAATTCTTTATAATTCCAAACGTGCAGTTTTCTGTTGGGTCTCCTTTGCACACACGCTTTTCTCTTCTTGGAGACATTTTTTAGATTTTTGTTCTGCTTTTTCTATTTAGAAAACTACTCAGACTTCAAATGCCCTGCAATGAATCCTCTGGTGCCAGAGGCTGAGCCAGGTAGAAATGTTTTCCTTTGTATCCTCTGTCTCCTTCCTTACTACTCTCCCATTGCTTAACTTGTACTATGCTAATTTTGAAAATTTTATTGAATTTTTTATTGGATCCTAGGTGGTTTCATATTTATATTGTAAGGCTCTAGTTTACTAGTAGGTGCAGTGCAGCACTGAAGAACAATGGATAAATGAATAGCTTGGGCCTTGTTCACACACACCCTGTTCTGGGAATCTTACTGCACTGTGATGCAGGCTGCCTAAAGTTGGCCTTCACTGCAGAACAATGCACAGGATGAAGACGCAATAAGGTGTGACGACCTCCTCTTGGTAGGAGGTACCTATATTCTCAGTTCATATCCAATACCAGATTCCCAGACATTGACTCCAGAGAGTTTTCCTTTTAATTCTTACTAAAAAATTTGCAAGTTGTTATGTGCCTTATTGATATATAACTCTTAATATATAGTTCTAACTATAGCTTCTATATGAAAATATTTTCACTGTTTAAAAATCAGAACTAAAATCTCTAAATGCTGCCTAGAATATTTTGTTATGTAAAAATTAGATGTCACTCAAAAATTATTTCTTAAAAAATACTGGGACTCCAATATATTTGGTCATTTCTGATACTTAATTTAATACATAGGACTTCCTTTCCATTTAGAATTTTACTGCACAGCACTGAAAGTCTTTAGAAAGTACATAGAGAAGAAGTAAATAAATAAAAGTATTTAATAGCAAAGCAGAATGCAATAAAATTTGATGTGTTTAGGGGCATTGAAGAGAAGATAAGAGAGCCCTTAGGTTTGTTCAACTATGGACCTCAGAGATAAGTGAATATAAACAATTTACTTTCCTTACTTCTAAAGATTATTTGCTGATAAAATGGACTGGTGTCCCTTCACATAAACACACTCATGGTTAAGACCACACTGTGGCTTTTATGCTTCTCTTTGAGTGACATGGGTGGCCAGATTTTCTCTTGAGATTATTTTTAGTTATTGGTGTTCTGAGACAATCTTTGGCCTAGATTTAGCACTTTTTATATTACCAGGAAAAAAAGGAACAACCATACAGATAGACCCTAACCCTATTGTCACCTTGTCAGTTCATGTCTGTCTGTCCTTTGGCAATCCTCAGTATACTAAATTGGGTAGTGGATTTTCTTTGTGAAAACTAGCAGAAAGATTTACTAACTTCTAAATAGTGGGATTATAATGAAAAATGTTCTCACATCTCAGCTTAGACATCACATTCTATCTTTTCTGGCATTAATTAATTATTCACAATACCGGGGATTGAACCAAAGGCCTCCACCCTGAGCTATTCCCCTTTCTTAGTGCTTGCTTTTTACATTATAAGCAGAGTTTCACTAAATTACCCAGGCTGTGTTTAAATTTACAATCCTCTTGATCTCGGCTGGGATTATCATTGAAGAGTGCTACACGTAGAATGGCTTTTGTTTTGTAAGTTTTTTCCATCACCCCTTAGCTTTTTTCCAAGTATATGCCACAATTTTATAGACCAGATAGAACATGGGCTTTGTGGTCAGGCATGGTTGGAAACCTGGTTCTGTCCTTCATCATCTGTGTGACTTGGGTCATTTAACTTTTCTAGGCCTTGTCTCCTCATCCATGAAGCAGAGAAAATGCTTGACACATAGGGTTGTATTAAAAATGCAATGTAACATAAAAAGAAATTCTCTTAACTGAGAAGTTTATAACAGAATAATCAATAGTAATCTGTCAAAATGATCTTTTATTGAAATATCTTTTGACCCAAGAAGTTTGTACTTGGCACATTTACAAATATCCATGGCTACTGCAATATTATAGCATAAAAGAACAAAAATATTATTGCAGCATAACATTTTCATGTATAAATTAGCAATCAGTAGTATTTGAGTTCCAAATACTTAGGTAAATATATGAAGTATTGGGCTAAGGGATTTATTTACTGAAAGGTTTTCTACACTTTTACAAAGCAAGTTAGTGTCTGACTTTCATCAGTAACCCCAGAGCTCCTTTAAAAGGATGGCCAAAGGACCATCATTCTCTGCTACCTATTAGGAAGTTGTCCTAATATAAATTTATGCAACTTTCACAAATTTTTTTCAAGCAAGTCATTTCACTGATAAAGATAAATATATAATTTAAATGGAGGGGTGTGTCAGGATCAATTTATGCAAGTTTTCATTATGAAGTGCTTTCAGATTTCAGATTTTTTTTCTGACTTAAGACTTCATAAAATACTTGGAAGTTATTCTGCATGTACTTAAACTTGATCATACAAAATAACTTTATTGCCCATAACTAATCATGAATAGAAAGTTCTACACCTGGAAACAGGAAGACTATAGCAAAGGAAGAAGAGGAGGAAAACAATTCCTATCCTTTCACAAACATGTTAGAGACTATTATTTTCTCCTTTGCTACAAAAAAATAATGTATTATTGTATAAACATAGACTTGTAAAATTGATTTAAAATAGGTATGGCAATGCTTTATAAAAATATAAGAAAGCTATTCATAAGAGGTATAGTGGAAATAAGATATTTTTCTCTGCTAAAATCACATTTAATTAGCTTATTTTAAGGTTTTTTGCTTAGATCCTGTTTCTTTCTCAATTCAAAGAAATCTATAGTAAAATATCAAAGAAAAATATTTAGAAAAAGTATCTCTAACAAGAAAGAAAAGTCTTCATAGCTTTGTCACACCTAAAAGCCCCATAAATGTAAGGTTGAGAGAGAACACATATAGAAGTATATACCTTTTCATGTAGTTAAGCTGCAATTATGACTCTGCGTAGGTTAAAAATGCCAAACCCCATTCCCCAAATGACTTGCTGCATAATTTATTTTAGCTGCTGAATGTTGAGTTGCTGAGTGTTAATTGAGAAGCTTTCTACTCATTCCCTGTAAAATTCAATTAGACAGAAATCAGAGCTGCTGGCCTCTCTTACATTTGTCGCAGCCGCCATAGGGTTCCCGAGGTCACACACCACCATTCTGGTCACATTTTCCATCTTGTACTCGCAGCTCGGTGGCCGAAATCCCTACAGTGGGAAAAAACACCAGCACAAGTTCAGGGGCAGAACAAATGACTCCATCCTGTCATGAAGCTGTGAGGGGACCTGGGAGGTCCCTTTGATTTTAAACACCTGTGCGGGAACTACACAGAAATTACTCTGTGGCCACTGCCTCAAAAGAGAAGCCTGAGAGAAAACTGTAGAATTTTAGAAAAAAAGAAGTTGACCGCTGAACATAATTTTCATAGAAGAAAATAATGCTTAAAGAAGGTTTGTGTGAACATTTTGGATATTGTTTTCACTAATGTTAATGTTAAATTCAGGGTATGAAGATTAAAAATAACCACAAATTAATGGGTTTATTCCTATGTTATGAAAATAAAACAACAGCAATATTGATTATCATAAGAGTCAGCTACTTGCAAGAGAATTGCCCTGGACACAAGTTTCTCCTCACACCATCTCTTTTTGAGATTATATAATCAATTTTGTTCAGTGCTCCCAATACTTAAGACATAAAGAGAACTTTATATTTACCCAGTGTGGTTAATCCCCTTTTATCTCCCCATACTCAAGCTCGAAGAGATGCTTGGAAACACATGCTGGAGGCAGTCTCAGGTTATGCTAATGATTGCTGGTGAAAGAGGGGCTTATTTTCACTGTCCTCTGATTTCCCTGTATTTGCCTGGTCTTCCACACAGCTTAAAAATCCACCCCCTCATTTCTCAGCTAGATTCGCTTTTCTCTGCTTGAAAACCTAGTGGTCTCATTCCTGTGGACACATGGTGAGAACATTTATGTTAATCCATGATTCCCCTCCAACTCATTACGTGTTGTCAGCCTGGGGCATGTGCCACTCATACTCAAAGATGAACTTGCCATAAAATGGCGTGGTTAGTATAGAGTTCCATCTTCACCGGCTATGAAATCTGACCCAGGTTGGTGGACACTCTTCTGGGATTTTTGGAACATTGTATAGTATGTATTTTCAGAACATACTGAATGACATGTTAGTAAACCAAAAGAAGCTAAAGCAGTTTTTGTTTTCCAAAAGCTGACAATATCTTTTCTCAAAGATAGGTTTAGCATGTATTAAACTTCTTAGGAACTCATAAACTAATCCTAATCATACAGAGCTATTTCATGCTGAGATTATCATGAAAACAGTAAAAAAGGAAAGAACCCTAGAAAAACATTTAACAGTGTACAAATGTTCCTTGAATAGGATTCAAGGACTTAGTTTCAATAGTGAATACTTTTATCCTACCTAAAGGTTAAGTTTTCCATAGACATTTTTCCAGATTCCTAGAAATAGTTCTTTGACATCAATCAAAGATTTTTCTGCCTCCCACATCCTTTCCATCCTCTTTTTTTAAAAACTCTACTTCCTTTCTACAATGAGAAAAACATAAATATTTTTCTAGATAGTTACAGATTAGTTTTCTTCAGGATATTTTAAATTCATTTGTAGCTCTTAGAACTACATGAATCATTCAGGCATTCATTCATCAAAATTATTTACCATGGACCTACTAGCTACCAAATCCTGATAAACAAGATCTTTTGTCTTCACTGCATTTCTAATTCTTACAATTACATGCATTGTAACATGCAATGGAAAAAAATTTCCATAGAGTTTGATAAGTTTTATGATAAGAGAAATAAATAGTGATAAAGGAGGACATGCATGCAGACTTCAGAAATCAGTGGGCATGGTGGAGCAGGTGGAATCAAAGCAGAGAGGAGGGTGTAGCAGTAATTACAGTGGGGATCATGACAGTTTCTGTATAAAGTTACTATGAAGGTTGCCTCAAACACATGTAAGAACTTAGAGCAATACCCAGCCCATAACAATTGTTCAGTGAATGTCAGCAGTGTCAATTACTGAGCCATCTCCCTGGCCCCGTCAATTACTAATAAATCATTTAAAGAAGAAAAAACATTAAAACAACACTGAGATTTCATCTCACTCCAGAAAGAATGGCTATCACCAAGAAATCAGCTAATAAATGCTGGAGGAGCTATGGGGAACAAGGAGCCCCTTTCCACTGTTAGTAGGAGTTCAGAGGGTGTGAACACTATGGAAATAACTATAAAGTTTCCTCAAAAACTACGATTAGAGGTCCTATCTGACCCAGCTCTTCCCTTCTGGATATCTGCTCAAGAGAACTAAAACTATCACAACACAGTCATGTTTACAGCAGCACAATGTGCAATAGCTAAATCTTGGAAACATTTAAAACCATTTTCAACCAAGGGAGGATGAAAAAGATGCGGTCTTTTTATACGATGGAGTACTACTCAGCCATAAAGGATAAACTTGAGCTTCTTATACATAAATAGATGCAACTGGAGACCATGCTTGTAAGTGAAATAAATCAGAATTACATGTGTAAACAGCCTCCTGTCTCCCTGGTGTGAGAAACTGAAAGAATAAATAAAGTTCAAAGTACACAATAGATATTGTAAAATGTGAAAAAATATTCAAAAGAACAAAATAAACTAGAATTGGGGAAGGAGTAGAGGGAGGATGAGAAAACAAAAAAAATACAAGATAGCTATACTATCGGTTTCTCTTAATTCCTTGAAAAGAAAGGTTTGTGCTCATATTTTTTGAGAATTCTTTATGACCATATCTTGTACTCTGATCAACAACTTTAAAGAAAAAATACTGTTATTGTTCGATTATTTTGTTGTGGAATTTTTTTCACTTTTTTCCCATAAAGTAAAGAAGAGAAAAAAATGTTGTTAAGCATCAATTATTAGTGAGTTTTAGTTGTGCTGAAGTCCTGAGGATGAAGGAAGCCTGTGTAAGGGAGTAGATGTTCCCAAGCCTGAGGATGAACTGTCTGAAAAGAAACTCAGTCAGGAGGGAATTTTGGGTGTGTGGGCAAAAGAAGGTAGCAACTACTAGGGAAGCGGCTCAAAAGATAATCAGAGGTGTTAGAATTAAGGGGCTCAAAGTCTCCTGAATGGCCTGGACCTCACCCTAAGTGCAGTGGGAATGAGTGATGGGCTTAAACCAGAAAGTGTCAGATTTGTACTGTAGGAAGATGGTTTTCTCTGTAGCTGAGGAACTGAAGGGAGGGAGCTGGAGAGATGGATTAGGAGATTGTGGCAATAATGTAGGCAGCAGATGATGCCAGTCTGGCGGCAGGCAGTGACAGTGGCAGTGGATGGAGATCAGGACATGGACTAGCGACTTAGGATGATTTGGTTTCCCAAGCTGATAGGAGGGTGTGGCAGCAATTACAGAGGGGATCATGACAGTTTCTATGTAAAGTTGTCAAGCAGATTGACTCAATTAGACAGTGGGAGAATTCAGAGAAGTATCCAGCCCACAGTAGTGGTTCAACAACAGCCCAGAAACCAGGCAGACCCTTCTCTGAGATGGGAGGTGCAGGGGAGAGGAATGTGGGTGAGAAGAGGGCTGGTTATAAGCAGGATGAAGGTGTGATGAGTGGGGTGTGGGTGTTGTTAAGTGGAGATGTATCTTGGGTTGTCATGGTTACCAGGGCCCGGGAGGGGAGAGATAGGCAATCGGTTTTTAATGTGTAGAGTTTCTACGTAGGATAATGAAAATGTTCTGGAGGTGGACAGCAGGGTGCTGCCTACTGTGAGTATTACAGCATTGAACACTTAAAAATGGCAAAAAAAGGTACATTTTGAACTTTGATTTAGAGTTCGAATTAAAAGGTACATTGTATATTACTACAGTCATAATAACACATGTAGTGTATATATTGTATTTTAGGGAAGGGTCTGCAGGATGTTCAGTGTCTCACTACTAGATTGAACTCCTAGTGATCTGCCTGTTTACAGCCTTCCAAGAGTTGGGATTACAGGTGCCCAGTCTCAATTGCTATCTCAGCATGCCCTAGGGGCTGGGCCGGCACTGCAGGCTCAGGGATTGAACCCTCAGCCCCTGCGCCTGCTTGTAGGCACTGTAATCTGCTGAGCTATTTGGCCAGCCCTCACATGTGGTCTTTTATTCCTGGAAAAAATTAGAAGAAAGGTCAGTATAGGAAAGTATAAAGGCTGGCTCCACTCAGGTTTCTGGAGAAAGTAATGATCAGAATCTATTTTCTAAAATGCAATGTTTTCAATAAGAGAACAACAAAATTACATTTAGATAATGCCTCATATGTTATTCTAAAGGAAAAATATATAATTATATATAAATTTTGATATATATTTAATATGTGTGGAGAGAGAGAGAGAGAGAGAGAGAGAGAGAGAGAGAGTTCGAATAAAAAGGCATGCAACCTCCAAACTGCTTAATGAAGAAAAGAGAATGTGCTTTAGTCATCTAAACTTTAAAGAATAATTTAAGTCTCTTCCCAAAGGAAGTTGATAAAGGGAAAAAATAGTTAATGGTTCACTTGGGATTATGGATAATGTCCTCTGTAAAGTTTATAGCCAACAATAGAATGATAAGTGCTCACACATATTTTCCGTTATAACAAAGTGAATAGTAATTTGGGTATTTTGCTAAAAGAACATTCTAGAATAGTTGCTCTGTTCAGCAACTCAGAAGTTAGGTGACACAAAGGGAATTCAAACAAAAATATGAGTGGAATCCTGGAACATTAAAAGAATAACATACTTCAACTTCATTTTCATGTTTATCTTTGTATTTTTGCATTTCAGTATTTGTAACAGGTGATGCTTTTCTTTCTTCCTTTCTTTCATTTGTGCATATTCTTATGAGATGACATTTTTAATTCAAAATCTTTATAAGTTTTTTGTATAAGTGCTGTACTTATTCTAATTGATTTCTGTATTTTGAAGTAACTAATAGAGAGATGAGGAATATCAAATCACATAACTAAAGGAACAAGAAAATAGGGTGAATAGAGATCATTTCCTGGAGAAATTAAGGCACAAATGATATTTATGTTTGAAATGGGGGAGGGTAGGTTGTACAGCTGCAAATACTTTTGAAAAGAAGTGAGATGTGTTTTCTTCTAACCAACTTCTCTTCTAAGAAGGGCATTAAAATCTTTTTAGACTTTCTAACTACTTTATTGAGGTATGATGAACATGCAAAAATCTATGTATATTTAATGTGCACAACTTATGTGTTTAGAGTTTTTTCTATTAATTTTTTCAGTAAAAAGGTCATCATGGTTTCAAATGGTTGTCAAAGACACTTTGTTGCTGTTCATCTGGATCACCTTTAACTGAGAAGATAATTCAACTAATACAAAAGTCCATGAGACTAAAAATTTTATATTCATTAAACCTTTAAGACACCATCACAAAGAGGAATCTCTTTTCATTAAATTAATGATTCATTAGAATATACAAATTCCTTACAGCATACAGTATTGAAAGCTAGTAGACATTTAATACTTTTTAGTTAAATAAACAAGCTCAACAGTGAGTCCTCAGAGGCCACCCTTGATGTACTCACTCCTAAAGAGTAACATGAAACATGGTCTTTCCTTGAATCTATACATTTCGAAAATGGAAGATCTTTCTCCTTTTAATGTATAATATACTTATAATGGTTTTCTAGACCAGGAGATTAAGAGCACCGAAGAACCCGAGGTTACACAGAGTGGGGAGATTTATGTTCTGATTATGAACCGGAAGATTTTAAATAGCACTGGTGCCACTGTTATAAATAGTGGCCTGCACACCAGCAAATGTAGAAGATTGAGCTTTTCCTGGTCAGCATCCCAACAAGGTGGGCCAAGAAGAAAGAAAATGATCTTGTTTTCTTTCCCAGTTCTGGTCCAGGTGGTTATCAGTGCTCAGTAGGGATTGGTTGGATCTTCTTTCCTTACTAGTAATAAAAACCAGACCTTCTGAAACCTGCCTGAAACTTAAAAGGAACTCAAAACAAAGTTTGGGAAGCCAGTGAGAATAAGGAGTTAGTTTGGGAGGCTAGCTGACCCATTGCATTAGCTACTCTTTGTTTTCTTCCTTGCTTTAACTCTGAATCCTTGACCAACTTTGACTGGCCTAGGCCAACTTTCAATTTTGCAATTGAATGAAAGAAAAGACATCAATGTTGGACGTGCCCATCCCTCTTCCTGGCTTGTTGCTACTAGGACTTGACAAAGTGGGATGTAGTTTTCCTCAAAAAGAAACTCAGCCTAAGTGAACTTACTGGAAGTCAAAAATATTCCAGAACTCAAAAATATACATAGATTTTTACATAATTCACAAATATTACCTTGTTATTGCGTTCAATGCCAACATAGTCTGCCTCTTCTGGTATCATCACAAAGAGTTCGGCTTCATAGGCTCCTTCCCCTTCATTTCTTGCATTTATTGTGAGCATAAGATGATTTTCATCTCCAATGACGATCTGATCCTTATCACTGAAAATGTGGTTTAAAAAGAATGATTAGGTGTTCTACTGTTCTGATGCTATGGATATTTTATTTAAGATTTTAAGAGGAACCTTTAAGGGGCTAGGAAGCAGTAGCAGGCTCTGTCCTCACCAATGGATTTGCTTTGTTCTGTGGGAGTCACTGTTATTGAGAGAATGGTTTTGTTAAAAGCAAATTTGGTCTGTTTTCTTCTCTGTGTACCATAAATGTTATTCTATCATGTTATGACACTTATATGTGGACCCTTGTCATAGGCTTGTGACATATTCTTGGACTGCCAAGTTTCTGAAACTGTGAACCATTTAGGAAAAAAAGAAAGAAAATAGTGAATGTGAGGGTAGGGTAGAGAATATGGGTCATCATGAAAGGAAACCATTTCTGGATGGGAAGGATAGGAAAACATCCAGTGGAGTGCAGGCAAAGGTATATCTGCTATATGAGAAAGAGGGAGAGATGGACAGAGACACAGAAGCAGAGACACAGAGGCAGAGACAGAGACATGGACAGGGACAAGGTAAATCCTCCTAGTGTGATCAATTTTTAGCTACCAACATAATAACCATCTGTTAGCACAATTCCTGCCAATTTAATATTTGTCTCACAAGCCAGAAAGACAACTTTAGCACATTGTACATTAGGAGACACATACATCAGGAAGAAAAGAGCTTTGGTGGGGAAGGAAGAGAGATGATTTAGAGTAAGAGGGGGACAGACTACAAAATGGATTATACAGAAGGAAGGAATGGGCAGATGAAATAGGATCTGAAATGGTTGATAGAGGGTTTTGAAGTATTTTGGGGAAATTTAATTGACTTTGAACTCCAGATCAAACCAACATTGAGGAATGCCTCTTCCACTTTTGACCCCTACTCAAAGCTATTGCTTTTGACGCTTGTTAAATTATAGAGTTTGGGGAAAGTCCCCTGGAGAGATTACCAAGCAGATTCCAAACATGAGTTTAAGATAGCTCCTGAGAGAGAAAGGTGCTTTTCCTATTCCAGGATATTTTAAATCTTTGTTCCACTTTTTTTTCTATCACATAACATAATGCAATTACTAGTGCTGGAGTGGAGCTATCAATTACTAGTAACTGTAGAGTTACATGACTTTGTGACACATTCTGCTTTACTCCCTAGTGTGCCTTTTAAGTTTTTTTCACAGAAAATTAAAATTAATTTTGTTTTGACAATTCTAAGGATGGCTTTGAGTCATGGGGTGCTGTGAAACTCATTTGGTTAAGGTGTGGATAGACCCAGATGACCTGAATCCTTTGCTCACTTGACTGAGGCAAGTAAATATAACCTGAACCACCCTACACACTTGTTTATTTTGAACAGAAATACTTTTTTTCTTACTTTGGTTGAAAGATGAAACAGGCCAGGCAAAAATCTCAGGGTGTGTCACTTGATACCCATGACAACATCTGACCTACCTGTAAGCTAACACAAAGTGTGGCCCCGCTGAAAGATTTCAAACAGTGTCTTTTTTTCTCTTCTTTATTCTGTAGTTTTTGGAAATGTAGAGTTTCTTTGGTGAAGCTTTAAACAAACACCTGTATTCCATTAGCTATAATGTACATGTTTATTTATTTAAACTTACGGTCTAGCAGACAGCTTCAAGTCAGGGACACACAGATTATCTTCTCCACAGTCCACCAGGATGTGAGCCTATGACCGAAACACCATGCATCAGGAAGAAGCTAAGAAAACCTGAATCATATACTTGCTCTTGAAAGTTCCAAACTATACAAATGAAACCAAAACTTTCATTTCACCACTTGCGATTCTACCCAGCTCTACACCCTATGTCACAAAGTGACCTCTCAATACAGGCTAGTTGACTTGAAATCTAATACCTATTCCTTCCAGAACATCTGTAAATAACACTACCCCGGCACTGTTTTCAGTCATTCAGGCCGCATTGCTTTCATTACAGTCATGTTTTGAACATATAAAATATTCGTTGTACAAGAGGCAGGGCTTCCAAAAACATAATGATGTACTGTTCCAGGAAATATGTTAGGAAAAAGTCCCAAATGTTACAAGTTTGTGTACAGGAATAAAAACAGAAAGGGCTGACTTTGGTATTCAGGTTATAAGAACAACTTTACCCACCCCAGCCACACTAGGAAAGTACCCTAAGAACATACCTGTTCAGTAATGAAATTGTCCCTATAGTGGTTTAATATTGGCTTCACTTCTAGGCCTTTTTTAAAGGTTGAGTCATCCAAACTGTAATTTAAACTAATGTTGATTGGAGATAATTTATCTCGGAATTCAGTTTCATCCTAGGGAAAATGATCACAAACTCAAGTAGTTGCAAGATATTAGTCTGTGAAGGGCAGATAAAACTTGACTTTAGGACAAGCAACATAGCTCAGTGGATTAAGCAACTGCATAGGTAAGTGCAGGGACCAAGGTGATTCCCCACACCACATGTAATGATGGTCCTGCCCCTGAGTGCACACTGAGCTGGCCACCCAGTCTGGGGATGGTGGCACACACCTGTAATCCCAGTGCTGGGGAGGCTGAAAACAGAGAAACACTATGAGTCCAAGCTGTGTAGTGTGACCCTGTACCAAATACATTAAATTTTTTTAAAAACCCACTTGACTTTAGTCAATCAAAGTGAGTGATGAAGGCATCATTATTACAATGGGCTTCTTCGGAATGTGCTGCTTTATGTGGGATATAGTAACCAGTATAATTACTATACATTCAGGGATAGAGTTATTCACAGACAGGGCCTTACCAAAGTAAGCTTCTAGAAGTAAACTTTCTGTTCTCCAGATTCTCAATAACTTACATAGAATTAGTGGTCTCCAAGTACAAGATTACACTGATACATCGTACATGCCATGGAAACCATCATGAGTTTTTGTCTTCATGGTGATAGAATTTATGAGTTCTCTTGGGCTTGGGTAAGAAAACATCTTGATTCTCTTTATTCTGTACTATATCAGTAAGGTATCACTTGCATGGACTTCAAAACACCTTGAACACATGTGAAGAAGTTTGACTACAAAAGGAAACAGATCTCTTACAAGAGAGGAATGAGCGCCCAATGGCAGGAAATGGGAATATTCAGCTGTGTGCAAGCAGGCCATGACTGGACATAAAGGTCACTGGTATGGCTTTTCATTCTTGAGTGTGATAGTGAATTTGGGCTTCCCTAGTCCCTTAGAGGAGCAGGAGAAATGATAACGCATGGTTGCAGCTTAACAATTGGTGAAGTGAAGATGAGATGCTATGTTATGAACATTTTTACTTTTACATTTTTCTGGTAGGTTTTTGAGTTGCAAAAGCACACTGTTTTTAAAAGTGCACAATTATAGGATTTTTTTTTTTTTTTCTGTCTCAGGCTGCCCTAAGGGTGGGTCTGGTAAGGCTTGGGGAGCTGGGGATTGAACCACGCCCCCCTGTGCCTGACTAGGTTTGCCCCAGCAGGCTCTTAAACAACGGAGCTATCCCACAAGCCCCTTAAAGTGCACAATTATAAATTCCATTTAATGAAAGCTGTAGATGCCTGAATGAGGTCCTGAGTTGGGTTTGAAATGCACACTGATAACATCGAAGAAGACATTCTGATAGGATAAAAATTCAAATAAATCGAGTTCAACTTTTATGCTTTTTTGTGGGGTGGGGAGGCAGTTAGAAATGAAAACCACCTGAGTTAAGTGCTGTTATCAAGATTTACTTTAAAAAAAAAAAAGAAGCCTTAGGAATTAATAGCAACAAATCCTTATGGTGGTTGAAGTCAAGGTCAAGAAAAGAGCAGTCAGTTGTAAAGTGTCCTCCTCTGGTTAAAAAAAAAAAAAAAAAAAAGACAAATGGAGGTCTCTGGAGAAAAAGGCGATGTTTCATTGAGGGAAAAATGGTTGGAATTCAGATTTTCATGTGAAAGGCTAAAAATATGATTTCTGCAGCACTTACTCGAAGGTAAACAGTGAAATCCTGGCATTGGAGGGACTTCTGCCGCTTTATCAGCAGAGGGAAGATGAGATGGGATTGACGATTACTGAGGAGGAGTGTCCGTTTGATGGCTCCTTTTTGTTTCAGAGAATCTAACTGCAATTCAGCTGCCAAGGCTACAGAACAGAAATGAGGTGAATATAATCAGAGGAGGTAACAGTGAACACAGTGTTCTGTCAGAGATATAAACTATTTCAAGTTGCTTATTCAGGAAGCATAACTTTTCATAGTTAAGATCACACATAATACATGAACCAAAAAGTTTTATAACATAATCTCTGAGCTGAAAACTTTAAATGTACATTGTAATTTTTTCCATAATTTTTTGTTTATAAATAACACTTCAATTAGTGATTAAAATATTAATGTAGAAGGTTGTACATATGCACTAGACATTAGATGTTAATAAATGGCTCTTTAGCTTTCTATGGTCTGTGCAGAGAAATGCTTACTGTTCATTTTTCTTAGTATAGTAGAAGAATGTAAAAGTGAAATCAAGCTCACCTACTGTATTAGGAATGCTCTGGCCAGCTACAGATGCACATACTCTTACAGAGAAGCTATGGTAAAATAATAGTTGACAATTTATTGGTTAGGAAATTTTTATTCTGAAGTAGCAATCTTCCTTTCCTTTATTTTAGTTTAAATACATGCATGATTTCCCCCATCCTTCTAATTCTATATGTATGTGCACATACATGGACACACACACACACACACGCACACACCCCTGCATATTTACAAACAGCAGATACAGGACTAAAATAGTTATGACAAGTACCACTGCATAAAAGGCAATACTTGAAAATCATACTATAGATTACTGGATTTTCTCAATTGATATCCTGTGTTTATTCTGTGGATACATATGAGTATCTCCCATGTGCCAAGGAATGAAGAATTACCATTACAGAGAGTGACAGTAGTGGGACAATCTAGAGAGTAGCATGATCCTGGCCCCATCTGCAGAACCTAAAGACAGTGCGACTGCAACATCCAGCTAGATGGGGAAGTTGAGGGCGGCGTGGCTGGCTTCCTGGTTGGAACAAGGCTTTGGACTCGTGCTAAAGAACATGGAATGAATCCTAAGAATCACCTTGTTACACTTAACTTGAATCACTCACTTGGAAGGAGACTGCAACTTGGTACTTTGCTACGGGTGAGGTAACGCTGGAGGTAGAGAGTCAAGACAAATGAGCAGAGAAAGGAAGTAAATAAGGAACTTAAAGCAGCTGCCTCAAGCTAGTGGGGACATTGACATAGAATAATGACAGTAAAGGGTGAAAGACCTTTCATATTTCTGCTTGCGCATGCCCTAGCCAGTGAGGAAATGTCTACACGGCTTGTGGGATGACCCACACTTGGCCCTGATCTGTGGCCACAGAATGAGTGAGGACTGTCCGCTTGTCTTTGCTCAACTTCGCTGAATGTTCTCACCTCCTTCCTGAAAAATTCTAACAGCCAGCATAAGAAATGAGGTCTTTCCACATTTCTAAGAAAGTAGAAATAGAAAAACTACACATTATGATTTAATGATGTTTTTATTAATAAAATGCTATAGCACAATTTGAATATTTCTATGGAATTCAAAAGGAGTAAATAATCCCTAATCATACTTTAATTATATGTCAGCTTCCTGTGTCAAACATAATGAAAATGTGTCACATCTGGGATTCATCTATCTCCGTGACCTCAGTCGATGTCTCCCTTCAGGGTAAATAATTCGCCACATACCATTAAGCCAAAAGTTTCCTGAGATGTCTGCTATTACAAGTGTTTATACCACTTCCCTGGAGAAATCACAAATTCCAACTCACTTTTACTTCAATTTGAATTACTTATGGAAGATGAATAGTTAATCACATCTTTAAATTTTGTAGCAGGTTTGACTTCCAAATTTGGAATTTTTCTCTGTACCCAGCTTTTTTGGAGGTACTTGGCTATACTTTAAAATAATCTGTTCAACTTTTTCTATGTATTATTCCTCTGCATAGAAAAAACTCATGGGGGCCTGCCCATTAGCTCAGTTGTTTAAGTGTATGCTAAACAAAGCATTCAGGCTCAGGATGCTGTGGTTCGAACCCAGATACTCCTGCCAAACCAGAAATGCCCTGAACGCATCTAGAGACAGCCAAAATACATAAATAAAAAAATAAAATCAAAAAAAAAAAAAAAAAAAAAAAAAAAAACCTCATTAGCTTTTATAATATAAATTCATATTTATAAATGAAATTGTCAAAATATAAATTAAAATAATTTTAGATATAGTGATTTCTTTAACATGAAGAAATCAAAAGTAATAAACTTTTGGAAAAAGTAATAAATTCAAGCTAGGAACTTGAACATCATTTTCTCTTTTGTGAGAAAGTATTTGATAAATGATGCTGTTGGAGCAAGGTTTCTCGATTTATAAATTTTGTGTTAGTACACATCTATTTTTTTTCTGAGTTCTCCTTTTCTGTTACTTCAATATCATTAACAACTGCATGATTTCTTTCATACAAGTTTAATATAACCACTAAAACTTCCTGAGTTGTTGGTAATAGCACTCTGACCTAAATCTTCTGGTTTTTAGTTGTCTTTAGCAGGAAAGGCCTTTTTTTTCTTTTAAATCACAAACTTTTAAGAAATGTTTTGATCCAAAAAGAAAACCTTAAAATTGTGTAGCAGTGGAGGGTCAGAGTAATTCTAAAAATGGAAAAATGTATTTCTACACACTTATACACATCATGCACTTTTACGTATTACAAAATGAGGTCTTCTTGCCAGTCAATATTTAATTAGAACATACCAATATTTAATTAGTCAATATTCAGTTCGTACATGTGGACTGTCAGCAAAAGCCCTGAACTATTATTGAATTTGCATTAAAATTTCAAACTAGATTTTTATGATCATACTCAGCATGGTCTATTATTCTGAATGGGTCTGATTGGAACGTAAAATATGAAAATATCATAGGTCCTTCATGCCAAAAGTCTAAATCACACTATGGACAGTGCTTTTGATGTGCTAAAAGACTGGAAAATACAACAGAGGGTGCTCTCAATTTGTCTCCTATGATCAGCTGGAGTACTGACTTCATGGGGTGACTTATGATGGAGAAAGATTGAGATATGCATGAAGCATGGTTTAAAAGTACAAAGTAATTCATTTTTCATACTCACCAAATCAGTCCTCTGTCAATGATGGTGAATATAAGATTTCACATAAAGCTAACTCATATCTGGAACTTTATTTTCAGGTTGGAAAATTGGATAGTTACACTTACAAAATGAAATGTCTTACTATTTTTATAGGCATATTAATACTTATCAAGCTAGAATTTAATTCCTTTTTCTAATTTAGAAATGCCAATAGCAGATATTTTGTAAAGCTAGATAGCCAACTGAAAAACAGAAATCCACACTGATGGAAATAAGGGGTATCTGTGAACCTAACATGTTCAGATTTATATCAAGTGCAGACAAAACTTACACCACAGACAACTAATAGAGGCCTCTCAATCACTAAATTCTTAGAAGAGTAATAATAACAATAATCAGAGATACACATTCTACACTGAACCAGTGATTAACTTTCTTTTAATACTTTGAGTCACGCTTCAAATTTTTATATATGAAAATAAAACAACTTTCAGAAAAATGTATGCAGTAGTATAAAATAAATAATTGTGAAGGAATGCAGTATAATTTGCCTACAAAACAGGTCGCACTCTATCTTAATAAAGTGATTTAATGCAACAAGAAAATGGCTCGTGAAAAAAAAAGTAATATTCTTTTTACAAAACCAAACCATCCCATAATGTTGTTAATGTTACTTATATCTTATAAAAACATCCATAAAAACTAAAGATATTTAGGGGGGAAAGATCTAGCTCAAATAAAACACATTCTGTGTGAGAGGGCACTGCCTGTGATGAGAAGTCGACTGGGTTAGGACCCCGCAGAGAGAGGGCCTGGGGGGTATGAAAGCTGTGTGCTACTTATGCTCAAGTAGCGTTCACAGTTCATTTAAATGTTCACTTAATCATGCCAGAAAAAGGGGAAATGCTGGCCGTTTCACATATTTTCTCGGATCAGGTTTTCATTATACTGTTTTATGGTTTTAAACCATTTTAAAATGCACTCAGGGCATTTCCCAACTCCTTTCAAAAGAAGTTAAAGGCCAGGACATGCCTCCCCATGCAGGAGTTCCCAGCAACAGGATGTTTTAAAAAGAATTCTTAAGAGTTCTAGAAACTTCTCACTCTCCACACTCAAAAGTTTTGACTCCAGCATGAACTCTTATCAGAAGGCCATCAAAAACATGCTAAAATGGCCTGGAAATAACTTCTCTGGGTCAGAACTGGCTTGTCATACATTTTTATATTCTCAGGGACTGAACATACTGCCCAAGTTAGACTGCATTTCCTGCAAAATGAGGGAAAATCTCCAACAAACCAAACCTTTGTTTTTCTTTATGGTACTGGGGATTGAGCCCAGGGATGTCACGCTGAGCTACAACCCCAGCCCCTTTCAGTAAAATAGGATCTTACTAAGTTACCAAGTTGTGTAACTTACTTTCAATCCTGCAATCCTCCTGCCTCAGCCTCCCAGAGTGCTAGATTTTATTTTCCTGATGACATGATCTAATCTGATGACTTCTGACCCTTAGAGAATCTATATACATATATAAAAGCAGGTGGCATTTTCTTGGGATGTATTTCAATCAAGTTTAGTTTTGTCCTTTGAGGACATGAGTCAGAGGAACACTTGGACCATGTCCTCTTAGGTCCAGGCAAAGGAACTATGATTATACCACTATTCCTGATGATGGCTTCAGGGTCACAAAAATCAGGCCAAGACACAAAACTCCATTTATGATGTTAATTTTCTGTACATGCTAAATTACAAAATTGTTTTTATGTTTTCTGCATAGGAAACTGAGTAATTTAACCCAAGTGAGGCCACTAAAACAAGGGGACATAAAATACACCTGAAAAGTGGTATCCATAAGCCCATGCAAATACAAGACAAGGTACTGTGTTTTATTTTTCGTTTGCTTAACATATTTGAGAATGCCAAATAAAACTCAAAAATACTGCTGAGATGTATTTCAAAGGGAATACATTTCCCCAAATGATTTCGTATTTCTCATCGTGCCTAGAGGCTGCACTTCACATAACTTGCTCTGTATGGGTAAATCCTGAGCCAAAGAACAACACTGTATTATAGATTCTTTTGAAAGACTGCTTGCTTGCTACCCCAGCACCAATGTCCCTTCTTGTAGCTTTTTCTAGACATGCAAACCTCAGGCTGTACTGCAGACTTACTTGCACTAAAACCACATTTATTTTACAAGATACTTAGGTGATCGGAATACGCAGCAATCAATACAAAAGCTCATGTATGAGGTGTCTGTGAACCGGAGCTGGCTGTGAGAGGAGTTACTTGTTTTGCAGGAATAAGCTTTGCATTAGTGTGTGCAAAACACAAGGTTGACTCACCAGGCCACAGGTGTCACAGATTCTGGAATGTGGCAAGTTTTGTTTTCAAGATTGATAATCATGGGGTTCAAGAGAAGCTGGGCCTCCACAGTCACAACTGGCCTTGCTCTGCAGGGAAAAATACAAGGTCAGTATGTCCTCCATGGCCGATAGGCAAAGGCTCACTGCACAGAAGGGGTCCCTGCAACATTGCCAGGTTGTGCCAAGAATTTGGCTTAAGAATGGGCAGGTGGGCACCACTCAACAAATTACCTCTAAACCTTTCTGGTAACTTGCACATGAATTTGAAAGAAGGATGTGGGATTTGTGGGTGCTCGGGGCACAGGTGGTTTCACAAATCCGCTGTCCTTGGGTTTGTTTGTTTGTTTGTTTGTTTTGATACTGAGATCAAACTCAAAGAGTTTGTGCTTGTCAGGCAGGCACTTATGCATCCAAATTATCTCCCCAGCCCTCAAGTTTTACTTTGAATGGTAACTTTGCAGCTGGGTTTTGCAGCTTTAACTAAACACATGAAGGTGGGTTATAGAATAATTCTGTACTTCATCCCAAGGAATAGTTCTCAATCCTGGATGCACGATATAATCCCCCAAGAAGCTTTTAAACAAACACTGTGCTCAGGCCCCACCCTATGGACCAATGAACTAGAACAGAACGTCTGGGTTCAGGGCAAGGCAATGCAGTTTCAAAGACATTCTCCAGGTGATTGTAGTGGGTCACCACATTTGAGGAGAGGAACTGACATAAAGGAAAAGCCTTTTCAGCCACCCAGGTGAGGATAATAGGACAAGAAAGTAAATTACAGGGGAAGAGAGTGAAGCAATTTTCAAAGCTTGATTACAAGATATGATTGCTGGGAGCTGGAGCTGCCAGATTTCTGCATGCAATGAGCCATGTTGGATGAATTTTCCTCCAACGGACAGAGAGAATGGCTGTGTCTTGGGGCAGAATGTTGTTTAGGGCACTACTTCAAACAATTTCATGATTACCACATGAAGCCCACTGGGATTTTTCCTAAGCTGCTTTATGGTATTTATCTGTACTTTATTTTTTACTATTGTTAATATTGTGTTCTAATCCTTGAAAAATCAGATGGTAAATTAGAATTAGACTCATATGAGGTTTACTGTGACAAACCTGTATCAGAAGAAAGTGAAGTGGATAGAGGAGAAGGGAAGTTCTGATCCTTGGAAAAGTAGAAGGAAGAAGATAGGGTTGGATGGGACATTCCACGCTGAGTGATCTATGAACCCACTCCGGAGATGTCCGTGAGTCAGAACTGCCCATGAGAGAGCAGTTTCTTGCAGGAGTCGCCCTGTATTTTTTCCTGGTTGTCCTCCTACTTGAACAGGAGTAGCTCATGGAAAGTAATGTTCTGGTACAGAGGCTGCAGCAGATTCCCTGTGCGGCCGTGGGTATGGCACTGGCACGTGGTCAGTTTTTCTCCAGCAGCTCCAAGTTGAGTACTCTCACAGACACCATGAACCTCAAGGCCCATTCCATACCCAGAGGCTGTAAGAATTTCAGCTTTCTGATTTCTCAAAACCTGAGGTGGAAGGTGATTGGTATAAATCTGACCTCACTGAGTTTCTCTTGAGACCAATGAAAAATGAAAATCCTACCTGTTTTGAAAACTAAACCTTAGACCCTCTTTAGGAGCTAAATGGATTAGCAACACATGCCCAGAGGATTTGTGTTCTATCTTTTGTTTAGATATCTTGACCTGGTTTCTTGAATTCTTTTTTTTTTTTTTTTTTTTTTTTTTTTTTTTTTTTTTTTTTTTAATTTTTTTTTCAAAGTTTTATTGCCAAACAGATAGCAATGAGACAGTTTCAAATCAAATCGGAAGGACAGTTTCAACAAATAATACACTGCATATATTCTTCTTAGTGGTTAATTGCTGTACAAGATGCGGACTTGTGATCCTATTTACAAACACCATTAGAACAAATCATTCTATTCATTAAGAGAATGCAACTATATATCTATCCCAACCTCTTTGAATACACAGATACAAAATGGACATCCATCGGTATACCCCATTTTTTCTAAGTTCCGTTATTGAATATTATAGGTGTGTAAACTCAGCAAAATATTCTAAAAGAGTCCAGTAGCCTATAATAGCATTGGGTCTTATATTTAACTGGCAATGTCAGAAATTATTGACCTGAGTCCCCCACAGCTCAACTTAACAGCATGGCTTTATTTCTTATATTTTGACTTCATACTTTTCTACTGGATGGTTAAGACCAAGGTAAAGCAGGACCTATGCAACAAGAGTTGTAGCTTTTTGGTCCGAGAAGGTCAGTGAAATGCCCTCAGGATTTGTCCTGAGATCCTGTACCTCAGATTGTAGAACCTTCATCAGTGCAGCCATGTGGATGAGTCACGGCCATTGCTTGGCCAATGTGCTCTCTGTGAAAGCCTGAGAGTGTCTTCTCCCCATGTGACTCTCCTTAGGCACACTCTACATCATCGATCACTTTCCTCTTTGGCCCCATAATCTTCTTGATCAGAAAATTTGGGACACTACCGAGGTACATGACGTTACAGTACAAGTTTTGAATTCTTATTAAACAGTTTTTAAAGTCTAAAAGTCGGACTGGGGAGATGGCTCAGTGGAATAACCCTATTCTCCCTGAATCCTTTTAGCAAAAGTAATTTTCCTTTGTATTTCAATTGCTGCCCAATACTGGCTTTTGGAGAAAACCAATTCCTGTTACGTCTTATTCCCTAATTTGGCCTCCAGTCTTGATGGCAGAAACCAGGAAAATGGTATCATTTTCCCATCTTGCACCCCTTCTCTGAAGACGCACATTTTATTGGCTTTAGAAGCATAGAGAATTAAAATATTTTAACATTCAAAAACTGAATCATTTTAAGATCGACTGAGTTTATTATCTTAATGCTATTTTGTTAGGGGCTGGAAATCTGATCCTAAAGTATGAGAATAAAATATCGAAGGATAAAAGAAAGGTTCCAAACTGAGAGCAAATAGACCTCCAGACTTTAAAATAAGTATTTAAATATTCTTCAGAAAAAATAATTGGAATAGAGTATTTAAGGCAAAACCACAAAAAGAAATGCATTTAAAGCAATTCAGAGAACTGCATACCACCAAAACCCACATACCTGTAAACAGCCACTTTTCCTGTTCCAAATGCACCTACCAGTAAATCTAAAAAAGACAAATATGAAATGCACACATAAGTTTTGTAGGGACAATCACAGGTTGAGCATCTCTAACCCAAAATTCCAATGCTCCAGAACCTGAACCATCTGGGGCACTGACATGACACAAGTGGAAAGTGTCACCACATGAAGCTTTGTTTCATTCATAATGCTATTAAAATATTCTATAAAATTATCTTCAGGCTCTACTTATAAATTGTGTATATAAAACACAAATTGATTTAATGTTCAGACTTACATTCCATCCCTGTATAATTCATTATGTGTCTATAAACATCTCAAATGTCTAAAACAACAACAACAAAATCCTAAACAGCTCTGGTCTCAATCATTTTTTTAAAAGAAATTATTTAGATTTTCTGATTTTTTTGCAGTACTATTTTTAAGTTTCACTTGATAAATTATAGATATGTAGAGTATTGGCATTCATTGTTATATTATCATGCATAATTGTAGCAATGTCCACAACAGCCAACAAATGGAAATGATCTAAGTGGTTCATAAGCTCACGAAAGCAAAACCTACTATGGTACAGATAAAAAACCAGACAGTATTAAGCTATCTGTTATAAAGAATGAATATTGTCCTTTGCAACACAGATGGGACAGGAGATTGTTGTGTCAATGGAAATACTTTATACTCCCAAAGACCAAACTGTATGATCTCATTAATATGTGAAATATCAAAAGTTGGTATAAAAGAAGCTGCAGGAAGAATCATGGTCACTAGAGGACAAGGAAGGCTGGGTAAGGACTGAGGACATGGGCTCTATAGGAATTAAGTTGTGGTTAGGTAGAAAGCAAAAGTTTTCCAGTACAATGGGTCAGCTACAGATCACTGTACTGTACTACAGTATCTATGTATATTTCCAATATACATGGTATATTTTCAATATACATATATATTGCCAATATGCTTCCTCCAAATATCTAGTATGAATGTTCAAGGAGATAGGTATGTATAGCTAGATTTAAAAATTATACAATGAATACATGCATCAAAATTACACAGTGTCCCCATTAATATGTACAATTTGTAGGCTTATCTGTATTCATTAAAAATAAATTAGTGAAGTGAGGCAGAGAAGAGCTGTTCGCACTCAGGAGTACAAGACCTGCCCAGGCTGCACAGTCAATTCAAGGTCAGGAAGACCATAGTGGGACTCTGTCTCTCTCTTGAAATAAATGTAAGCAACAAAGCAAGGAAAAAGAAGAACGAAAGAAAAGAAAAAATAAAGTAAGAAAGGAAGAATGAATAAATTACAAGCAAGTGAAGGAAAGGAATGGTCCCAAACTACTTCATGAAAGTGTTGATGCCAAAGAAATGTATAATAAGTTTTGTCTTTGGCCCCTTAACTGCCATTCCATATACTGTCAACAGTTTTTCTGTTTTTAAAGAACACAAAATTTTAAAAAAGATACGAAATTTCACTAAACCAAATAATAGGAATTCATGTTTGATAAGGGTTTTCTAACCCTTACTGGGTTCGTGATAATGAACAGCACGTCCTGAAGTGCTGGCTGCAATATGAGAATCTTGAAATACAAGCTCAGGCAAGGAATGGTACAAGGCCTTGCATATCATGTTGGGAGGCCAGGCCTAGTGGATTTGGATTTCAGACATGGCTGGATCTAAAGATCATTGCATTGAATCCCGCAGTCTGCTTGCACCCTTGCCCTGCTGACAGTATCCAGTAGAGACAGGTAGCCTGATTGCTTTCCTGTTTATCAATATGAATGGGAGTGCATGTCAGTTGGGAAGGATGTCATTGTTGGATATTTATGGACAGAGGGGCCTGTGGAACAGGAAGGAGACTCACAAGCCCACAAGCCATAAAGCTGGGCCAGGAGGACTGTGATTTGCTGGATTCTAAAGACTGCATGTCCTGGAAGGAAAATACTCAGCTGGAAATACAAATTTTTAGACCCATAGTTTTCTTGTTTATGTATATATAGTGAATTATATGCTATTACTGTTGGGTAATCTTCTATTAGTAAAGGTAAAGATGTTCAATTTAGTAGAAGATTTACTTTAGATCAATATTTACCTAAATGTTTACACCATAATCACGGGTCTCTTTTCTATGGGTTAAAGTAACACATTATTGGGTTTTATGGTATGTCAATATCTAGTTTGTCTTTGATACTAATATTGTTGATGATATTACTACCATAGCCAAAATGACAGTTTTTGTTAACAACTGACTTTCTTGCTTTGTCAATATCTGTATTGTCTTAGTGTTATTAATAATACTGTGGTTCACTCCAGGAGAAATTAGTACTGAACCAAATACACTGAAGACTCCCCTCCCAGATAAATGGAGATAGAGACAGGGGTGATTTTTGAATAGAGGCAAATGCCTATAATTAACTATGCCAAGACCACAACATTGAAAGGCAGCATTAACTAAAAATATCTCCACAAGCAAAAAGTCTTCCACTGTAATCAATCTACAAACCCCACACAGAAAATAAGCAAGGAAACACAAACAAAAAATAGAAACATGAGAAAACAAGATAACAAGATAACAATTCAGGGGAAATTGAGGGGGAAGAAATTAAAAGCCACACAGCCAAATTATTTGAAAGGATAACAGAAGAGACTTCACAAAACAGATGAACAAGATCCTTGGTGAGTATAAAGAAGATATAGCTGAAGTGGTAATGATCTCAACAAAATAATCAGAAAGTCAACAAATAACATTAATTGGAAACTAACTGAGCTAAACAAACAAGTGCAAAACATGAGTGACCAGCACAAAACAGAAGTAGCTTCAATCTCTGGTATTGGAGGAGGAGGAGGAGGAGGAGGAGGAGGAGGAGCAGCAGGAGGACGAGGAGGAGGAGGAGGAGGAGGAGGAGGAGGAGGAGGAGGAGGAGGAGCAGCAGGAGGAGGAGCAGGAGGAGGAGGAGGAGGAGGAAGAGGAAGAGGAAGAGGAAGAAGAAGAGGAGGAAGAAGAGGAGGAAGAAGAAGAGAAAGAAGAGGAAGAAGAAGAAGAGGAAGAAGAGGAGGAAGAAGATGAAGAGGAACAGGAAGAAGAAGAGGAGGAAGAAGAGGAAGAGGAAGAGGAGGAAGAAGAAGAGGAGGAAGAATAAGAGGAAGAAAAAGAAGAAGAGGAAGAAGAAGAAGAAAAAGGAGGAGGAGCATCCATGATTACATAACAATTAAAAATTCTAGAGATTAAAAAAGTTCTGCTAGAAGTGTGGGCAGCAGATTTGACCCTTGTGAGGACTGATCATCAGAACCACCTAGAAGAACCTGGCTGTTGTCAATGGTAATTATTAGAAGACACCTTAAAAAGAACCAGATATCATGAAAAATGAATCCAAAATCTGATAGCTGCAACAAAGAAGAGCAATGTAAGATCAATCAGAATTAGTGAAAAATCAGAAAACAGCACAAATGCTATAAAATAGCTTTATACAGAAGTGATATAAGAAAACTTTCCTAATATGTGAAAATAATTTAACAAACAGATAATTGAGGTGGAGAGAAACCCACATAGCCATGATCATAAAACAGCCAATCCATGATACATCATAATTAAAATCCCAGAATTCCAACACAGGAGTACAGTCTTAAAAGTTGTTAGAGGAAAAAAATCATTTTTAAAGCAAATCCATCAAGGTTACAGCACACTCCTAAACACAAACCTTGAAGGTAAGGAGCACTTGAAGTAAAGTGCTTCAAAACTAAAAGACCAAAAACAAAAAAACAACAACCTCCCAACCCAAAGTAGCCTTCCATGACAAAGAGCACCTAAATATTTGCAATCCAAAAAAATTTCAGGGCCAGGGAGTTAGCTCAGAAGAACAAGCACTTGCCTGGCAAGAGCAAGAGCCTGAGTTCAATCCTTGGTTCAAAAAAAAAAAAAAAAAAAAAAATTCTCAAGGTTATCCAAGAAAAACAATGAGGCTAACAACGCCAAAAGGCCAATAGAATGAATGAATGAGGAAGGGTATGCAATTACTTCTACATAAAGAAAGGGGGAAAAAGGGAATCAGAAGCAGGAAAATAATGCAAGGGCAGGAGAGTACCTTTCAATACTCTCAGTGTAGATGGTCTCAAGTAGCCAATGAAAGACACAGGCCTTGCAAGTGTGTGGGAGAACTTTCGCGCTGTCCTGCGCCAGGCAGGCCCGCAGCGCGAGAGAGACCTTTCCCTGTGGGACATTTCCCTGTATTCTCCGGACCTTCCCCACCCCAACAGAGCCAGCCGAACCCCGCTCTGTGGGTGAGAACTTCCACACGATCTTGGGAGCCCTCCAGACCCGCCAAAGCCCAGGCCCCCGTGAGTGTGTGGGAGAGCTTCTGTGCTCTCCTGCCCCCGCCCCATCCCTCAAGGCCCAGCGCAGGCCTGGCATACAGGCCTGGGGTGAAACTCTGCAGCTGAAGTCCCTGCAGTGAGACTAGGATCAAAACCATGCAGCTAATCCAGGAGCAGAACATCTTGCCAGAGGGGCACAGCAGGCTCACCTCCAAGGGCAGCAGCAGGAAGGAGAACTTGGTATATTGGTACCTGAATTTTAGTAGGTGCTAAGGTTACAACTGCACAAAAGCTCTACAACAAAGATCAGAGGACAGTGCTATACAAAATGACAAAGAGAAGGACCAAAATGCAATTTCAGGTCCCAAGCACAACCAAAACAAGTGCAGAGGACACAAACACAGCTGAAATGTCTGAATTAATAGCTTATGAAACTAAAGAAACAACAGCAGAAAGGTATAGAGGAACTCGGACCAGAATGAATATCTGAAATAAAAAAAGAAATCTATGAATTCAGAGTGTCAGAAGTAAAGAAACAACAGCAGAAAGGTATAGAGGAATTAAGATCAGAACTAATCTCTGAAATGAAAAAAGAAATCTCTGAATTAAGAGCATCTGAAATACAGAATCAAATGCAGGAACATATAGAGGAAATCAGATCAGAAATAAACTCTGAAGTAAAAAGTTAACAATTATTTCTCAAGAAGACACTTATAAAAA